AATACGAAGAATATTGATCCTCACAGCTATTGCAAATAGTATAAAAAGCACAAAAAATTTGGAACGCTTCACGAATTTGCGTGTCTTCCTTCCATTCCTATCCTGTTTCTTTTATTAAATAATTATATGCTCATTCACTGCCCTGATAAACTATTACATTGGGGTACTCAAACTGGAATTAGAAGACTTAAAAACTATAGACGACAATATCAAACAGACTTCAAAGCTACAGATATCAAAGTAAATTAATATGGAATTCATAATCAACCTCTACTCTGCTAAAGAACAAGCTAAGAGTGGATTTCATAGCTTATGTTTCTTCAATTACATAATGTTCTTGTAGATACCGCGTCCATATCTACCAAACGAGCAGCAATTTTAAAGATGGCGAAGACTCACAGCACGTACTTAACGATCATGGTATCATATCTAAAGACTAGACACAACCGGTTTAGAACTGAGCAAGGTATTTGCCAACATTGCAAGGAACATGTGAAGATGGTGGATCATCTATCAACACAGTACGAAAAAATATTGTGTCATGATTATAGTAGAAGACACAATGAGATCCTGAACTCCAGGACAAGGCTCTGCGATGGACTCTGCAAAAAGCATAGTCTAAATGCATTCCCACGTATGCGGAGCCATTCCCTTCAGGAAATCGTCGCTAATGAGAACATGAAAACGAGACTATAGAGGTTGGTATCACTAGTCAGGACAATTTTACAACGGTCGAGACCGAAAAAAGCAAAAGTAAAAAAAAAAATAAACTCGGGCAACAATGAAATGCAGGACCAAAATAATCAAAAAAAATACACTCAATCAGGTAAATCAGGAAATTTTGATCACTTTTTCAGTACCATACCAAACAATGAGAAGCTTGTTTTTATCTTTTGTTTCAGGTTCAAAAGTGCATGCTTATCGTTTTTAAACTTTGAAAGCAGTTTCTATCTGATACCATTTTTTCTGATATGAAGTATGATAAGACTTCTAGATTTTTGCTGCAATTATTTAAAAAATTGCGCATAGATCTTTTAGAATTGAATTGATCACTGAAAAACTGCTTCATTCCAAGAATCGTTAAGTTTGTGCTTTGCTAAAATTCAGCAAAATGCTTCATAAATTTAAATTTACTTAAAAAAGTTTTTGGTTTTTTGTTTCAAAAGTAATCGTGAAAACATTAAAGTGATATTTGCAGTCATGTTGATTACTTATTGTTATATCCGAATAACGTAAGGTTTGCTTAAAAACGATTCTGCTTGATCAAAAATTTCTGTTCTCACCAGATGTCTTGATAATTTTTTTTATACTTTCAGAGAACATAAATAAGCATATAAGCAAGTCATATCCAGCAAACTTGATCAGAGAATAATTGTAATTTGCATAAAATAACCCTTGAAACTCATTAGGCCTTCTAAAGTATGCTAAACTGAATAACATTTTGAGGCATCATACTAAAATGAATATTACTGTTAATGGATTTTTCATTTCTTTAAAAGTTAGTGAAAAAAAGCTTAAGTAAAATGGTTTGCAACAAAATCATTGGCATTTTTGTGTAGTAAAAATGTTTCAGTAAGAATACTTTTCTCGATTAATAATTTTTGGGTTTCTAATCAAAAAAAACTTACTGATTTGCATTTCCGTCAGACGACTTTTTTTGAAGGATTCTCTAATGACAAATCTTAAAAATCTCGAGACTTTTGCTTTATATTTTATATTTTACCGCGATGCTCATTTCTCGGAAGTCTCAAATGGATGCCTCAAACATTGAGTCCTTTTTTACTTGGGACCTTTTATGGTATTAAAATTCAAATCATATATAATTTCAATTTTTTTGCAGGATAATATTCATTGTTGTTGAAAATCATATTATATTTGAAATTTATAAGGCTTTTGTCTTCATAGATAAGACCTCTACATTACAATATTGAATAGAGAATCCTTCTAACTAGTATGTATAATAATGATATAAACTACTTCACTTACTAAGCTTCTTAATAACTTTGCAGTAAAAATAAAATGGAGCAATAATAACAAAAATGAAGATAAATTGATACAAATGTGTAAGAAAATTCATTACACGTTGAAAGATTGCCTGTATTATGAGAAAATTTTGTTTTAAGAGTTGAGCTGCATCAATTTTCTTAGCAGATCAACCCTTAAAACTTTAGCTTTTAAAATTTCAAAGTTTGAAAGACAAATCTATGTTCAAAGATAGCCTGAAGAAAATTAAATAATTTCAGGTTGGTTTTGTTTTTAACTTCACAAACAAATTAGAACCATTCGCAGCAGAAGATTCTACGTCTAACCTAGAATGTAGACATGCTTGGGTAAATTTAGTGTCACGTAGATTATTCTTATCCTCTATAAAGCGGTCAATATTTCTCAGTGAAATGAAGCATTTCTAACTAACTGCACAATTTTCTCACAATTTCTACATGAATGCCATGTTCAGAACTATAAACTAAAATCATACAACTGGCAAAATTTGTGGTAGGTAACTTCTATAATAAGGTTTATGTCTGTTTCCTCCATTCCATGATAATTTCATGTTTGATCTATTCTTTATAACTTGATAATGTATAAATTTCCCCAAAATGAGATATATAATTTTTAATACTCTCTAAGTCTCTGAAAGTTAAAAAATTTGCATATCAAAACTTCAATGAGATTTGTCTTTCAAACTTTGAAATTTGAAAAGCTAAAGCAAGCACAAGCCATGAGACAATCACTTGTCTTTCAAAACTTTTTCATTCAACTAATTCCAATAATTTTTGCAAAACCATATATGGAATGCACGAGCTTTATTTTGTATCATTTCATCTCAACAAAATAATTCAAAATATATTCAAGCTCTGTAATTATTACAGCGAAGAGCGGAAATTTGCAAAAATTACAAAAAAGTTATGCACATTTGTCATGCGTAATAATATAGCCAAATCCCTACACATTACTGTATGAGACATTAAGTATTGTAGCTGACTAAGTTATTTTTTACTTGGGAAACTAAGTTTGGTGATGAATTGGAAGTATAAATGTTTTTTTTAGCATTCAGTGTGAATTTTTTAGTATGTTTCGATCCCTAAATTTTTGCTTTTTTCACTTTTTATGTCATTTTGAATACTCTATGCTGAAATATTCATTACTCTCCAGCATCTAATGCTATATAAAATGCATGGCTATGAAATTCGCAGTTTTTTTTAAACCATTCCTACTAACTTTTAAATATTTTATGATAGTTGAAACATATAAGGCAACCAGTTTTTTATTTTTATAATACGGAAAAAATTGCTGAAAAATTTAACTCTGCTTAATTTTTGATGTGAGCTAAAAGTGGAAGAATTTAGTCTAACATTTTGTTTTTTATTGAAGATAAAAAAAATGATGCGTAAATAATTTGTATTCACATATTCACAGAAACGAAATAAATTCGCAGCTTCTTGATATTTTACGCATTACTTGTGAATTCATATTGAATTCAAAAGTGATTTTATTTGGAGTAAGAAAATCAGTCTGACATCCACCACCGATCACTGATACGAGCTCCATCATGATACGGTGGTATACAAGTGGACTTCTGGCGGTCTTTCCATCTGGCATTACTTCCCAGTATCGTCCACCCATTTTCCACGTTTCTGTTTTGGCATCTATGCATAAAACAAATTAGAACAAAAATTATCCAATTTAAGTTATGTAAGGTTTTTTTAGCAGAAATATTATCAATTGATTGCTAAATATTTGAATAATAAATTCAGAATAAATAATTTCTGTACATTCAACAATCATATCAGCATACGTCATATTTATGATGCTAATTCTTATGCATATTTTTCAAGATGCGATAATCCAGTCAACAATTGTTGCTATGCAATTACTTATCTAAAATATGTAAAAAGTTACATTCATATGAAATAATCCTAGGCTTAGTTGAAGATATAGCTGGATCAGGCGTGATGCCAATCAACCAAAGTGCATACTTTTCCTTCCCATTTCTTAATTGTGCTGAAATTTTGATGAATTTTGATGCTTATTATAATGATTTTTTCTTAATTACTCCATTATTTATTAATAATAATATTACTTCCGACAACTGTAATTTTACTCTGAATTGACAATATAAATCTGAATTAGAATTATCATAAAAGGTTTTTTAAAAAACTAACAAAGCTTTTGGATAGCATATTTGTAGGAAGAAAGGTTGTTTGGTGAGTATAGAAGGATACAACCTTCAAAACTCAAAGTTGACCACAGGTCATGCTAAATTATATTAATTAGCAGAAATGAGAACAATACTAAAAACAAAGCAAAAACAGTCTAACTTTTAATGGTATACAGCTTTGAAGTATAAAATATTTACAAGTATTGCAAAGGTTTGATAATTTTTAAAAAAGCAATTTTTTGGAGTCTGAAAAGGTTAAGAATTACTCTTTCTTTAGTAATTATTAAACAATTTCAATAATTATACATTTATAAGTAAATAAAGAAGAAATTTCAAAAAATTGACTTTTGTCAGTCAGTGCCTTTTGTGCTATCAGTAATTTTTTTATGGAATCCGAGAAAAATTACAGCAGTGACTAACAATTACTTTATATTATTTTTGTAATGAATTATTCGTAGATTAAGAATCTAATAATAGAATACTTTTTCAAAATTCACTTCGATCAGTGTAATATGTTTAAATAAGTTATCGATTTGAAATGAAATCGTATTCGCTTGACGATCTGTAAATTGGATTGCTTGCATAATTCAAGCAGCAATTTCTAGCTTGTTAACTGAATCAGAATATGCTCTATATTTTAATTGCTTATTTTAAATTTTATATTTTTAAGAATTGATTAGCAATTAAAAATTATACATAAGACTTCGAAATCGCAAAAAATCATTAATAAAAAGATTTGTGCATCAAATATGAAAAATAAAAATAAAAATGCTGAAAAGTAATGCGAAAGTTTGTTTTTAATGCAGCAGAAAGCATAATTTGCCTGTTTTGATGGTAGTTCCAGATGAATTGAGTAATTTGACGATAAAAGCAGAGCAATCACAACCACCGCAATTTGCGACAATAACAGAAGAGTTATTTCTGAAAAAATTAGCTAATATAATTGAATTGAACTATAATTCAATCAGTGCAAATTTAATTTATATAATCAGATATAATTTGGAAATACAAAATGGGTAATTGAGTATTATTTCAGTTGAAGTAATTCAATAAATAACTATTACTGAAAAGAAAACTGAATTGTTAGATTACTTAGAAGCATGAAGAAACTTACTTGCTTTGTAGCAAAGAATCATTGTTAGATGTTGACAAAGCATCTAATGATCGAAATACTAACGCTTGTTTTTCACGTTCACTTTGAGATGCATCACTATTGCACTGTATTTTTTTTTGAGGATCTTTAGCTCCGGATAAAGCATTTTTATGAGTACTTGAACGTAACGGTTTTGTTGCACGATTGAAAAAAATACTCAGAGACTGTGAGTTTAACATTTTGAATGCTTCATTTAAATATGAATCTCATAGCTGTAAACACTGTGTTGTACCTGAAAAATATGCATGGAAATTAATTATTACTTTTAACACAAACTAAACTTAATTACTAATTACTGCTTTCGTACACTAAACTTAATTATTGCTCTCTAATAAATTTTTAGTCATTTAATGAAATCAAACTAATTTACTTTTACATAATAGAATTTGTTGCAATGAAAGTTTTGTTCAAAATATCACAATTGATTAGTTTTAAATGAGATTCTATTTTATAGCTAGCGGAATTAATCATTTGTAGTATGCTTATTCTATTTAGGAATATAATTGTCTTTAAATAAATAGTAGAAGAAAAAGAATGCATTAAAATGAAAATAACGTAAAGAGCTCAATAATGAAGCAAATTTTAGTCTTGCTGTATATTTGTAGTTATCAAAAATTCTCCTTATTCATTCAAAAGATAAAAAATGAGTATTCAATGAATTTTTTTGTAAAAATAACATGTGAATTTTTTAAATTGTGATTATAAACTTAGAGTTAATTAGTGAAACGGTTTTTTTGCAAGTTTCATTTTTATTTTTGAGAATTGAATGATCACTGCTGTGCAATAAGACTTTAAACTAATTAAGGCTAAGGTCATTTTTATTCAATTTTTTTAGTGTGAGCTTCTCGTTTTAGAGTAATCATAAGATGGAAATTGATAAAACCGAAAATTCAGTTTTTTTTACACGCATTGCTGAATAGGAGGACACTGCAGAAGGCAAAAAAGTAACTAAGCAAGTGAGTAATAAGTAAGTATCGTTTTTTGTATCAGAAGACTTTGACCAAAAATATATGGAAATATCTGGCCAACTAATCCTTTTTTGCA